ACAAAATGTACGTGGAGGAATTGCCTCTTGTATTGTTTACCAGTAGTGAATTCTTAGTAACTGTCTTTAAATTGTAACGCTAAAGTCTAAAAGCTTGCAAGTGTTCCGACATGGAAATCTGAAGCTAGCCAAAGTATTTTTTCAAAGTATTTCCTGGACAGTAGCAGTCTAATTTGGGAGGGCGTCAACATATGTAATGGCAATCAATCAGCTTATTCATTTCTCTTTTTTCTTTTCTTTTTTTTTTTTTTCACTAACAAACAAGAGAGATCTGATGACGATGATGCAACATTTGTTTAAATTGGGTGTAACTCAAGCAGTTGCTTCCTGTTTTCAACAGGTTCTGAATCAGTTGAAATAATGTTGGATTTGGATAGATTCAGGGGACCCATCTTTCGTTGTTCACTCTGGAAACGCTTGCACGGCAACTGACTTCATTTCTGTACATACGTCCTGAGTTTAACTTGTATGACCTGTCGTTTGAAGACACAGCTAACTGGCTTCTGATCTCCTCACAGACGACAATAAGTACGCTGTTGAAAAGTTTGCTTAAAGCAGTGATTATATGCAAACCAGATCAGTCTGAATGTAATTTGGAATGTGTGAGTTTTCACTTGTAAGATGTTGCTTCACATCACCTTTCACTTCTTTCTTGAAAGAAATGGCCACAAGTGAAAACTGGCCTGTGTTGGGTTCTCTAATCTGGCTTGTGCCTGAAGACCTGAAGCTGTGAATTTGTTTGTATGTTTTCTAAACCTTGCTAATAAACTTAAACTTCTAATACCCTACCTGTCTTTGTGTATTAGACATTGCTGCTTAGTGTTGGACAAAGGAAGCCACAAACAGCTAAAGAAGTCTAAACTAAAGTAGTGCTTTTGTAAAAGAGTGGCAAGAAGTCTAAAGAAGTCCCAGAAAGTTTTCAGTTTCAATCTGAACATGGCAACCCAACCATCATGCTGTGGGGTGGTTTTGTTTAAATCTTGGATGAGGATGGTAAATGGTATAAAGATTTTGGTAAGCTAAACAAAGAGCAATCCTGGATTAAACCCCTTTTAGAGGCTAAAAATCACTGATACAGGAGAGGCTGATGAAACTGTTTCATGTAAAGTACCTTCGTGTGTCAGAATGGCCCAGTCAAAGTCCAGACCTAAATCCAATTTAAAAATATTTTTTGAGGTGAGGGACCCTTTTTGTTGGTTTATAATGGAAAACAGTAGTAAGACACATTGGCATTCGTGGTTATAATGTGACACAATGTAAAAATATTCCAAGAAATATTTTATTGATGCTTTTTAATAATTGACCAGAACTAAAATTAGAATTAAAATTCTAATTTTATTTTGTAAGACACCCGGCCGGAAGAGCTATTAATGAAATCAAACGGGCCTATTTTGACGTCATATCCAGTGTGGCAGTTTCGCGCATTAACCGTAGCATCTACCGGCATTTTTTTCCTGGTACTGTTTTACTTTATTTTAGTTGTTATATTGTAAATGTCTATTATAATTTAACAGTTTGCCGATGACGATAATGCTGTTCTTAATCCTACCATTTTTTTAAAATGTACAATACTTTTATATGCAGAAGGTGCCGACAGTGTTAGCCCGCTAGCTAGCATATCAAGCAAAAGTAATGTAAATTCTGGTATTTATTTATCTTTATGTCTGATACCTGACTGTACGTAGCTGGTCCATCCTGGCATGTTTACTCACAGTCATGTTCGGAGCCAGTCTTTAACGGGACGTGAGTAAATAACCGCAATATAAACTGTAGTCGGTGAAAACAAGGTGTGCCCTGTTGTTACCATGGCTTCTGTTAGCTGCAGGTGTTTGAGATCAGCTGGTTCTCAGAATAGACTTTGAAAGATGCAAACATTTTGTATACGTTCCTTGGCCTGCGCGGAGGGATACTATTCTAGTCGTTTGAACAAGGCCTTTAATGGATTAAATGCGTGCCACATTTGTGCCATCAAATTGGCAAGTGTGGCGCTTTTAATTAAATGAGGCGTCGATTTAGATTTAAAAGTAAAAGAAATGTTGCACATTGTTTGCGTTAGACTGACGTACTCATGCTGAAATAGTGCACATAAGAATTGTGTATATGGCTACGTAACTGCTCTGCCAGGTCTTGGTTGTACATTTAAAACTGCACTTGTACTAAGTTTGACATTAAATAACAATATAAATATTTTTATAATGTGTGTATAGTTTAGCAGAGAATGAAAAACAGCAGAAAATATCTTTGTTCAGCTCTGGATTCCACTATGGCTCACTATGTTGCAGTTTTACTTTGCTCTAGGTCTCAGTTCCTAGATTCCATCTGTCCCTTAAACTATTATTTGATATTCTTTTCATTTTCCCCCCAATATTGGCTGACACTGATGTTAATGTGCCTATATTGTGCATCACTACTTGTTAGCATAACAAGCTGATTGTTTGCTCCTTTAATTTCCACACCATGACTGTCTGTGTTTTTCACAACTGGAAAAGTTTTAGTCTTATTTCGTATAAGAAATTGAAAAGTGTAGTGGCTTCCTCTCTTTCAACCAGCTGATTGACAGTGTGCAGCAATGTGTTGGGAAGAGGTCAGTCCTCCTCCACTTGCTTTTTTTGGCAAAACTTTTTCATCTGGAAACTAACCCAGAGTTAGTATGTGGCTATATTTAAGAAGTGCAACCTCGTATCAAATTGGGTTTTTGCAAAGTGTTTAAATCACACAACACTGCACATTGTTGCCATGGCTCAGTTTCCACAACATGTTCTTTCTTCCTCCTCAGATTCAGAGCTTCTGACACAGGCAGTCATGGCCATTCCCGTTGAACTCATAAGCAAGGTCATAGAGCAAACGGCGAAGGTGGTAGACGAGCAGGTGGAGGCGCAGCTGAGCAAGCTGAATGAAATGGACGACGACGATCTTGAGAGGCTGAAGGAAAGACGATTGGAGGCGCTTAAAAAAGCCCAGAAGCAAAAGCAAGTAAGTGTGAGACTTTACCCACCTGGACAGGAATGAGAATAAATGACAATTTTCTAAGTAAAGTTTAGTAGGAAACCCTAAAGCCATCTTTAAAAATACAGATATTTAGAAGAGGAGCAGTTGACCTTCCTGAGAAAGCAATATTGGGGCATCGTTGCTCTTAGAAATAACAAACTTTTCATATTGTACTTGTTCTGAATTTTCTACTTTGAAGGAGTGGCTGTCCAAAGGCCATGGCGAGTACAGAGAAATCTCCAGCGAGAAAGACTTTTTTGGCGAAGTAAAGGAGAGCAAGAATGTTGTCTGCCACTTTTACAGAAATTCAACCTTCAGGTAACTACACAGCATGCAGTAAACATTTGGTTTTAATATATTAGTTTAATTTATGACAGTTTTTCTAATAGCTGTTGCAGAGAATCAGCTACTTTTAAAGATGTTAGTGTGAAGTCAAGCAATGTCATCGGCTATCTAAAATACAGTCAGTTTCATAATTTGTTAATACAATAAATTATATTTAAAAACTGCATTCATGATATTTTTTTACTATTCTAGGATTAATGCTAATTAAAACAATCAATGCAGAAAATCTAACAGTTTATTCCACTTGGATAAAGGAAAGATCAATTCCAACATGAATCACTGATGAACTAAAACTAAAAAAATAAACTGCAAATCCACAAAAAAAAAGTTTTACTTTTATTCTCAGATGCAAAATCCATAGGTTTATTCTTGTTGTGCAGGTGAGAACATTGTCACATTTGTCATTTTATATATTTTTTCTTGTAGATGTAAGATCCTGGACAAACACCTGGCTCTCTTGGCAAAGAAGCATGTTGAAACCAAGTTCATCAAACTGAACGTAGAAAAGGCCCCGTTTTTGACAGAGAGGCTGCGCATCAAAGTCATTCCTACTCTGGCTTTACTTTTAGATGGGAAAACAAAGGATTATGTAGTGGGATTCACAGATCTGGGCAACACAGATGAGTTTTCCACCGAGATGCTTGAATGGAGACTTGGATGCGCAGATGTGATTAACTACAGGTAAGACCTGCAGAACAATCACTCCATCTGTGGCATTTCACAGAGGAAGAAGTATTTTAATGCCCACCTTCTTGTTTCGTTTTTGTAGCGGCAACCTGATGGAGCCACCGACAGGAACACAAAAGTCTGGCTCAAAGATCACAAAAGTGGAGAAGAAAAGCATCAGAGGGCGAGGTTACGAGTCCGACTCCGAGGACGACTGAAACGCTTTCATGTGGCTGGTTTCATCTCTCAGGGCCACCTCACCTCATTTCCAGCAGACAGCCCTCTTTCATTGTTTTGTTTTCATCAAAACAAAATGTTTACAATTTAACTGATCTATGATTTTCATCTTTTATTTAGTTTTATATTGAGATTAGTCAAGATATTGTATACGACTAATTTGGACATACAGTAATAATAATTTAGTCATCCTAAGCAAGGAATCACACATGATGCCATTCACTGTTTGTCTTCTAATGGCCAATAAGCCTTTTTGAATCACTTGTTGGTTTCATTGCATTGTCATCAAGTGTTGCATTAGAACAGAGCCTGTGATGCATGTGGGTGCCAAGATCAAGTGTATTCAGTTTTTAGTATCAGAATACATTTATACATGACATGACCATGTTGCAAAGAGTTTGACTTCATAAATACTGATGTAATAAAAAACAGTGAAAGAATTTAACTTTCTTTGTGTGATTCTTGTTTTCACTGTTTACTGATGCAATTATAGCAGCAAGTATTTTGAGATACAAATCAGCTTTTTCTACAAAGTAAAGAAATGTAAACAATTTCCAAGTCTAGGAGAAAACTAGCCCAAATGTTATCAGATTGTTGAGCAATTTTTACATTTTAAGATTTTCAGTGGAATTGAAACCAGTCAATTCTAACATGAATGTTTGAGTGATCAGATTAGTTTGAAATCCTTCAGCAAACCTAGCTGATCACTACAAAATATTTTATTAAGCTCAAAAGACACCTTAGAAGAGAACAAGACTGGAATCTATTTTTTATATTTTGTCGTATTTATTAACAGCTTAAATTGGAACAAACATCACAGAGCAGAACTAAGACTCAATAGCCTTGTTGTCGACAGGTTGGAGAAGGCGACGTACAATCAGCTCTCCCTTGCTGTTGATGTATGTGTCGGCCATGTCCTCCTCAGAAGGGAGACCATGTGGGGTTTTCAGTGGCTGTATCCTTCATGCAACAGGAAACAGTAACAGGCGGGAGACAGGTCACAATCATACAGTTATATACCCTTTGTCTATGTGATGAATGTGACAGAAGGCTTAATGAATCACTTTTTAAAGTCATCCATCACTACAAATCATTACTTATTTGTATTTCTAAGTATCTTGATCTGTAGTAATCTTCATGGTCATTTTTTTGATGCCTGCTTTGATTTTGTTGCTTTATTATTTAAAGCACTTTGCATTGTACAGTGATCTTACCTTATAAGATGCTTGATCATTTTCAGTTGGTTGTTAACTGAAGGTGTGTTTTTATGGATTACAGGTTTGTGGGCCTGACAGGAAGACAAACAGAGAGCAAGATTAATACATTGTTTATGCATTACATACAGTTCCATTTGTATTTATGAAAGCTTAAGTATTAGGTTGACAAACACTGTGTGCTTATCTTACTATTAAACAACTATTCTGCCAGCTAGTGGTGATAAATAGTTTATGGGCTTCTATTGACAGGTAAACATAAAGTCCAGGTTCCACACGTGGATCAAGACCTCACTGAATATCTCCCAACTCTTGTTGCTCAGTTTAGATGACTTTAATAGTACCGTTTGAAGTCCAAAGTATTTTACGATGTTCTTCTCCCAGTATGGCCTTCGCAGCGCACTTTTCACCCGGGTCACTATGTGCAGTTTGTGAGGTTGCTCTGGATCGCCTCCATACTTGTCGTGCTCTTTCGACCTCTCTTCAAAAATCTGTCATACGGGAACAAACATTTAATTTCTCATCACAGACAAGGCAAGCGAGCTGCAGCAGGTGCCTTACTTTTACACTGCTTTGCAGCATTGGCAATAAAATGCATCTTACTCCTCACCCACCCCCATAAAATGTTGAAAATAAAATATTTTTAAAAATGTATAAAAAGTGATTTTTTTTTTTTCTTGATTCTCACCGTCTCTGGGATTCTTGATTTGGAAAATTTGCTGCGTGCGGGCACAAACCAAGAGCAAGGTGACAAAACTGTGGCGTCTTTCAAAGCCTGCAACATCAGAAGAAGTAGAGACTGTACTGTAGCACTGGGAGCCAGGAGGGTGTCTTCTTTTTCCATGCAGACAATTCTGTGAAACCTCCACAACACGAAAGGTTTCTGCTATATCTACTCTCCAACTGCAAATGTGTTTTCTCGGGAGACTCCACAACACAATACAAAATCATTAGATGATTTTTAAATGACCCTACGTCTCAGAATGTGCAGGAATAATTGCCTCCATGTATTTCTAGTCGTTTCATCTCTCCAAGGTTCCATTTCTTAACAGATTTGGTCGCTTCTGGCTGAACAACAGCTAAGAAATGTCTCCATATGATTAATAAATAATTATGACTAGTAGAAGTAATATTTTGTAAGAGTCAAATAGCCCAAATAGAGATTTAGGGCCATCGATTGTATAACATATTTGAAAATAATAAAGAATAAAACTGAAGTTTGCACTAAAATATTCGATATATATATATAAACTAATTAGGTGATGTAGTGGTATCAACCCCTATGACACGAATATGCCCTACATATACTAAAACACTTACCTTACTTGTGTGAAAGCTCAAGCTGCGGCAAATGCCTGACATGTTGAATTTGTGAGGCACAAGCTGCTACTCAGACGAAAAACGCCAAGGTTACAGCGCTGCTAATGGCTAAATATAGAAAATGCTAACGTTAAGTCGCAATTAAATTGAGAGCCTAATGTCTAACAGTATTCGCTAAGTTCACCACCTCGTCCTCTGTTCGAGAAAAATGACATTATAAAAAAAATGTCAAAAGCAACCCAAACACTTTCGTCCTGAGTTTTACTTGCACGAAGCTAACCGGAAACCGGAAACATCTAAACTGTACCGGTCGGAAAACACTCCTTTTATGTATTTATTTATTTTAAAATAAAACTTTATTACTGGTCTAAATTGTCCATTTAAAATTTTAAGAATTGTGTGTGGATAAATAAACACGTTTTATAAGTATTTTCAAAACTTTGTTTCATCCGCATATCTGAAATTAGCAAATGAGTCATCACCTGTTTCCCGGGGAATTATTTTGCAGGAGCTCTTAGATAGCTTTCAACTTCTGGGCGAGTTTCCATCCATTTTTTAGGTTATTTTCTTTCACAAATGAAGCACCAACCGGCGATAACATAAAAACAAACATTAAAAGGTAGAAAACATAAAGAAAAATGACGGAGAACCACGTGTCCGGGGTGGAGGCTTCGGCCGTGTCAGTTCTGAAACGAGCCGTGGAGCTGGACCACAGCGGCCGCTTCCAGGAGTGCCTGGTCTGCTACCAGGAGGGAATCCAGCTGCTCTTAGATGTTTTGAAAGGTATCCCATCGCTCCTGAGGTAAACATCCAAATCCACAACTCTCAGCTCATGTGTTTCCTTGCGGTCCCAACAGCTCTGAAAGATGACTCAAAGAGAGGACACTACAGGGAGAAGATCAAGGGCTACATGGACAGAGCAGAGCAAATCAAATCTCATGTTAACCAGATGAAAGAAGGTACTGTCGTCAAACACAGGACTTCCAGAAATCTTCAGCATTTCCTCCTTTTGCATGTCTGACGCCTTTTCCTAGATTTTAATGTGGTAATTGCAGTTGTGTGATAACATTTCCATGATCAGAGGAAGGAAGGAACAAGGTTCTGTGGGATGTCCAATGTTCTGGATATTGTTTTATAACCTAATCCTGCTTTGAACCTCCCTATAACCTTTTCCCTGTGTTTCTTATGCTGTTTGTTCTCTAACAAACTTCTGACACTTTTCCAGAATAGTTGAATTTATGCTGAGATTTACTTTCACACACATGACTGAATACAAATTATTCTTATTACTTAAAAAAATAAATACAATTTATACATACTTTTACTTTCACGTCACAACACTGCACCGCTTTTTGTTTGATTATCTCATAAAACACTGTCATGTTTTTGGTCGTAATGGCACAGAACGTGGAAAAATGTAAATATTTTTTTCTCGTCCTGACAGATGGGAAATATCACGAGCAGATAAAGATCTCGGAGGATGCAACAGGCTACAGCTATGAGGTTCTGTTTAAACCATACATCAGCAGCGCTCTCTCTGAGATTTGGGTGGAGGACCCATACATACGTCATACCCACCAGGTGTTAGCCATGTTTTTTTCTCTTTTATTTATTGTCGTCTGGTTTCTTTCTGCTGAATTTTTTGCTTTAGTGTTCAATTTATTCTAATATTCTTTAAAAGTCCTGTTTTAAAATATTTTTTTCTGAAAATGTATTTTCCTACACAGCTGTGAATACTTCCATGAATGCCTTTTACTGTTATCTTTAACTCATGTGAATTGTCTTTAAGCTTTGAGTTAAACTTCATACTGCTTAATAGTTTGAAGTCTCATCTCAGCACAAACGTGCTTAATTAATGCTTTTTAAACCCGTACATCTCCTCTGCACCAGTTGTACAACTTCCTACGGTTCTGTGAGATGTTGCTAAAATCGTGCGGCAAGGTGAAAAAGATCCACCTCCTCACGTCCCAGGATGAAGTAAGTTACCTAAATAATGAGCTGACATTGTGTGACGAATGTCAAGCAGTCACAGATGGTGATTCTGATTTTTTTAAAATATTTTTTTGTCCAGGGTGATAACACCCAGCAGAGCAGCGCGCTGTCTGAGCTGAGGGACAGTCTGGGGGGTCATGAGGTGACTTTGGATGTTCAGTACTCCTCCACCATCCATGACAGGGAGATCAGGTGTGTCTTTTACCTACCGGGTGTATTTTTTATCGTTTCAGTTTACAACTATGTGCAACAATATATTTTGTATTTATTTTTTCTCGTGTTCAAAATGAGGAATTAATACTCTGGCAACTGTTTACAGGTTTGACAATGGTTGGATTATAAAAATCGGAAGAGGGTTGGATTATTTTAAGAAGCCTAAGGTGAGACTGCAGCTTCATATTCTGAGTAATCGTCTTTTTCTCTGTTATCTGTGGATGTTACGTTCTGTTTGTTGTGTCCAACAGGGCCGATTCTCTATCGGATATTGTGACTACGACCTCAGACACTGCCACGAGACTTCTGTTGACATTTTCCACACCAAACACACAAAAACTCTATGACATTCATCCTGCTCAAAAGGACATTTTCCTCTATCTGCAGAGATTGACCTCAACAACTAAACCAAAACACAACTGCAATGATTTAAATTTTGCCTTAACATGCAGCTTCTCCTGCTGGGTTTTTCTTGCACTGGTGTCACATAGCCAAAGTTGGCAGGACTATTAAAACTTTCTTTCCTTTAAGGAGTTCTTTTGAACACCCGCCTCTCTTTTTGCACCTGTAAATTTCTTCTGCAACTTTGTTTGGATTTATTAAGGATGCTTTTATGAATCTTGTATGACTATGTGATGGCTTAAGCTGTTAAAATATTTAATACATTTTACAAAAACAATTAAAAAGTGCTTTTACACATGTATAAATGCATCACTGTTGTTTTTGTGGTTAAGCAATATGAATAAAAGCTATCTTAAATTCATAAAGATAAGATGATAATAATAGCATGAATGATATTAGATAAAAATAGAATATTTTAAAAATGTATTAATATTTACTTGAATAAAATCCTACAGAAATAAATCTGTTCAGTCAGAGAGACCTGGTCAGTATGGAGAAATAGACTGAAATAAATAAGACATAAACATCCATTTGCAATAAAATAATCTTTACTGGGGTTGGGGTTAAGAAAAAAATATCCCTTTGCTGAATTTCAAGAGGTATTTGACCAGTTTACCTACATTTGAGGGTTTTGTTGAATTATGTTTTTGGCCCACACAGGTTCACCTCTGAAACACATAACTTGTCTCTTTTCTTAATGGTATGAGGGTTGAACTTTTGCCTAGGTTTTGAACAGATGAATGTGGAAGCTTCAGGTTTGTTGTCCAAGGATGAATCAGACTGGTGGAGGACCACGGCTCTCTTCCCGATTTATTAAGAAGGTTTTAGTTGAAGTCTGAAGATGTCAAATTCACCAAAAAAGGAAATGAATAAAGTCTTGTCTAAATAAGGTGAGAAAAGTGAATTATATATGCATTAAACCATAACACGTCTCTTAAAATACACATTTAAATAAAAAAGTTTCACAAATATTTGTTAGGTACTACATTTTATAGTTGCAGTAAAATCTATATTTTCATGCCTTTACATTTGATTCAACAAGATTGGTTTCTTTTTTGTTGATACAATCTCAAGCTTATCTTAAGGCAAACCAACACCAGCTGTTCGGCTGATTTTGACCATGTTGAATCAGCAGGCTGAGTGTTGCGATTCACAAATGAACCTAAATATGCCAAGAAATCACATCATTGTTTACAAGCTTGATTTCTGATCCATTATTGTCATGTTTGTTTTCATTGTTGTTGTTTTCAATTAAATGGGGTTAAACTGACAGGGATGATGGAATAAAAGGCTGGAATGACAGAAAATGTTCTGCTGAGGCACTCATAAAAACCTGATAAAATTACTAAAATTGTACATATTTGCTTACTGAATCCCTCTTAAAAAACAGGTAATGTTGCTGTGATTCAGTCTGCATTACCAATCAAATAAAAACTGTTGAAATAAAAAATGTTTTGCAAAAAATAAATGAATAAATAAAACTCTGGTGAAGAGAAAATAAAAAAATCTAAATGTTCACGGGAAACCCTTAGCTTAACTGAAGGGTGACTCTCATGGGTTCACACGGCTCCGTGATCGGATTATCTATCAGCCTTAATCTTGATATGCACAGTCCTCATCTGGGTTCAGAGATGGAGAAATTATAATCCATGAGGTAACCTCCTGAACAAGAGACAATCAGTAAATACGGTCAGTTTCCCTCCGTTTCTCCACAGCAGGGAGGGAAAGAGTTCAGTTCTGATTATGTCATTGTATCGTAAATAATGTAAATAATCTACAGTCACGTTATACCTAGGTCACAGAAAGCAGCCGTGCATATTGATCTTTACCTCTAAACCAGAGAGAAATCCATAAATGGACATATTCTTTCTGCTCCTCTACATTTATGTATTATTTGCAATGAATGTAGTCGTTATTTTTCCCATTCTCTGTGTTTTTTGCTGTTTTGCTTCTCTGTTGTCACTGCGGCTTCTTCCTTGACAGAACCATTGTTAATTTTTGTTTTCTGCAAATATACCCCCACATGTACTTCAGTCCTTTTCAACGACTGCTTCGTGTCCTTTCAACCAGACGACTGCTCATACTGAGCCCGGTTCTGGTTCTGATGCAGGTGTCTTCCTCTTAAAAGGGAATTGTTCCTCCGACTGTCACCACATTCTTTCTCAGGATGAAGGCTTGGAACAAAGTCTTGACTCTATTCAGTTAGTAAATACATGTATACTTATTGGTATTAAATAATCACTATGCTTTGCTCTGTTATTCAAGTTCAATTACACTGTATGGATCTTGTATTGTTGTGGAATGAATGTGATAGATTTGAACCTAATAGTTATGCAGCTCAGTTTTCTGTTACTGGATATGAAATGGACCTGCTGTCTCGCAAAGAGTTTATGGTGTTTTGCAAATTGACACTGTAAATAAACAAAACTTCAAACAAACTTTTTATTTTAATATCTTTGCGTTTTTAAAGCCAATCTAAGCTATTTTATTTCACTCACATGAACCGATGTCTATAGGGTACAGCTTCTGCCTTTTTTGTTGTTGTTTATACTTTGCTTACGTTTCATACCATAAAAGTTTGTCTCAAAAAAACCCTTTAAAATGACAAATTTCAGCCTTAGAAATGACTAAGAATATAAAACAACTTAATTATGACTGACAATTTCAGTTTGTCAATTTTTTTTTTTTTTTGTTTTTGTTTTTTGTTTTTTTGTTAATCCCAGACTTCTCCCTGTATTCATCTGGGAGAGCGAATGACCTCGTGTGGTCTACAAACAATCTCATGAGCCATGATTCCTGTGTGCATACCCTCCTTCCAACTGGACTGGAGCTTTATTTTTTCCCTCTACTCTCATTTCTGGGCCTAAAAATCAGGTTAGCGTTTTATAAGGAGCTTAGCGCAGAGGGCCACAGTGTGCCACTAATGTAATAGACTATCCCTCCCTCTCCCTCTCTCTCGCATACATTCTCATCTGTCCTCTTTTCTCTTTGTGCATTTGCTTATCCTGTCATGCAGTGACCTTCTCCCTTTGTCGTCCATTCTTCTCCCAGCCTGTTTTTTTTCCCCCCACTTTTCTTCGCTCTTTGCCTATGCTTCAGCAGATGTTGATGATGTCAGCCTGAGGGTTAAATATTGGGTCTGTCACACGGCTGAGAACTCCGACTGGAGACGAGGACAAACAGGAGGGAGGGAAGCCGAGCTGCTGGTTTGGTCGTTTGGTGAGTTTCAGACTGCATGGAGAGAGAGTGATTGTGTTTTTCCAGGTGAAATTCTTGGAAATATTGTGTTTGTGAATTAAATACTCCGATAAAGTTCTGTCTGTGGATCATTGTGCTGCTGTCAAATCTTACTGAAATCTCTCTGCATTGTCAATAATCCACCAGATTATCCTCCTTTTCTCTAAATGCTGTTGTTTGGCTCTGTAAATATCACAACTTTATTTCATGTTAATTTCATTTTTAGCCTAAAAGCACAAGAAAAATGATATTTTAGAGTTATTCTTCCTGCCCCACCTCCCCTTAATTGTCACATGGTTATCATGTGCTTGTATCCTTTTCAGAAGGTGTGCTCCATTAGACAACAAGGTGCAGTATGGACTTTGCATGTTTACCTATAACCTGATCTATCTTGTGTTATCAGTCAGGCAAGCAAGATTACGCCCTGTTGACTCCTTGACGACTGAGGCACAACAGCATGAAACACAGAGAGTGGCTGTGGCTCACAAAACACCAGAGCGACATTACAATACAAAAATATACAAAACGCAGGAAGAAGACTGACCTCGGTCTTAAATGCTCCCAATTTGGAAGAGCTGGGAAGATTTAGAATCTCTTCTAGAATGGGATTAGTGTTCATGAAATTCAATTTCACTCTTGCTAAAGTGTACGCCTCTACGTACACAAACTTAAATGTATTTTTATTGGGATTTTATGCAACAGAGCAACACAAAGGAAAAAGCACTTTAAAAAAATGTATGCAGGTATAAAATCAAAAAAGTGTGGTATGCATTTGGTGGTTGTCATCCACCATTTATCTTGGTATCCCAAGAAACAATGTAATGCAACAAATGGCCTTCAGAAGTCACCAAGTCAGTACACAGACTCCACCTGTGTGTAATACAATCCCAACATAAAACCCACCATTCAGTGAAGACCTCAGAGGTTTGTTGGGGAACAATAGTGAACAAACAGCAACATGAAGACCAGCAGAACAACCAGGGATGGTGTTATGGAGACGTTTAAAGCTGGGTTAAGACATCAAACAATGTCTCGGGGTTTAAACATGTCAGTGTTCAAGCCATCACCAAAAAGTTAAAAGTGTTTGGCACAAATGCAAACCTACCAAGACCTGGATGCCCTGGTAAACTGACAGCTAAACAAACAGGACGTTTGTGGAAGACCGGCAAAAGGAAAGTTACTCTTGAGAGAAAGTCATAAAAAGTCCTTGTTTGGTCTAAAACACTGTCAACAAATTCACCTTGCTCATCAACCTGAGTGCAGCATCTCCACAATAAGACATAGTGTAGGGGTTGCAGCATCATGATGTGGGGTTGCTTTTCTTCACATGGGTCAGATGAGCTGTTAAGAAAAGCTGAGCTGGAGGCTAACCATCCTGCTGGATATTGACCCTAAACATACATCTACTATGCTGCTTCCCATCAATCAATAACATAAGATCTGAACAAAATACCTTGAAGTTTGTTGTTATAAGATGACAAAATGTGAAAGAGTAGGTTTATGAATATGCAGAAGCGTTACTTTTCCACCACTGCCATTGGATAATCTTAGTCAATACATTTCAGAGGTTATTGGATTGTTGCAATAGTTACTATTGACCAAATAAAGTTCTGAACAAGGCGACAAAATAAAAATTAAAACCATTGCAGAAAATCATTTAAGAAGTGACCATATGAATGCGACTCTGTTGTTTCATTAGAATGCCTTAATGAAGCCTGTTGTTCTGCTGCATAAACTTAATTGGCACTGTAAGTATTATACTAATAAGACCACCTGGATAATATAATAAATGAACTCTACTTAATAATGATTGAATTTTGCTGATCAGGGCAAGGTGCTGCCCACCGCTGCCTGCTTTTCAGTGAAGGTTATTTCTGCTCCTGATAATCAGCCCTGTAATAAACCTTTGAACCATGTGTCTGTGTTTATGCTTGAGAACAAAGAGCACACCATCATTTTAAATGTCCTCCACCATGGAAGAACAGCCCGCAAACATGGTATATGTGGAGTTTTCTGTGGAGGCAGGTGCTTTTTGTAAATGTCTCCTTCTCATAATAAATTTTTGTCCTTTTTCGTATGTTTTCTTTTAAAGGATCGAACAGATGGAGTCGTTCTCAGGAGACAATGAAGAAGGCACAGAGGACGTCACAAGTAAGATTATCTCTTGCAGAAAATTGTTAAATTGGAAGTGATTTCTTTTTAAAAAGACAAAATCAAGAGATTCTGGAGATGTGACAAAATTTGTTCTGCCTTTGTGTGAATCAGCCTGAATCTGCCTCTTTCTTGGCCCTTGCAGAACGTAAAAGCTCCAAAATCAAGTTTCTGAAAAGCCGTTTCTTCAGGAGGGCTAAGAAGACGGGTGCAGAGGCAGATGCCAAGCTCAGCCAGTCGGCTAGTGATATAACCGTTGGAAAAGGACTTGGTTCAGATGAAGATTTAGCGTGAGCAAACAGCTGACTAAAAAGCTTTGCAAATAGTACATCTAATTTCACATCTTTATTCCCCTCAATCTTCTATCCTCTGTCATTAAAAGCTCTCAGGGTGCAATGGGCTCCAGAGCGTTTTCCCACGAAAGCATCTTTCTGGATGACCAGGTCCTTTCAGACCCGGATCCAGTCAGGGTTTCATCTCAGGAGAATGTTCACAGCAAAATCAAATCTCTGCAAGTATGGCTTCTCGTTACGAGGAATTTAAGGCAAGAGCAACACATTTAACAGCAGCCTCCCATGCTTTACTGCTGTAGATGAAGCTCCAGCTGCAGAAGATGCATTTTGGGCCACCGCCAATGGTTCTGCCAGTCAGGAGTCCAGAGGAAACGGCTCAGCAGTCGGAGGACTTTACTTTCCACGGCTCTAATGAAAACTCAGGAGAGGGAACCCTCACGAAGGTAATTCAGTATCTGATTTTTGCTTCACCGAGGTGTATACTGAATAAATAAAAGCGTCAAATACAACAGTCCCAATGGAAGAGTGGAAGAAAAATCTGTTTCATACTAAATTTTAAATTTATTTTACCAACCCAACAGCACAATGTGTTTTATGGAGGAGGGGGCAATTGATTGGATGAAAAAACAGTAATAAATTTTGTTTAAGTCACTGTTATGCATTGTTAAACCACATTTATGTCCCTCTTCTGTATTATAAGCAGGTCTATAATCAAAATTCCTTGTGAGTTGAACACAGATGATTTTTTTTTAAATTGCCATAAAGCGTGACCTCTTGCCTTTTCTTTTCAGTCGACATCTCAGCCAACTTCTCCCCCAGTCTTGGCTCAAACAAGATCGCCACCCCGAATGCCTTCCCATCACTTTTCTTTTTCTGGACCCAACTATTCATCACCGGCTACAGCTGAGGCTCCGGTAGACTTCAACACACCAGCCGAATTCACCGCCTCCCTAGATACATCTGCTTTACGCCACAGGATGTCCATCAAACCTAGAAACCAGAGAGCCAGTTCGAAGAGAAAACCATCTTCTGGGGTGAGAATCCACATCAGTCCTGACAAAGACAGCACTAAATATATATTTTACTGTATTTATTCTCTTTTTAGATTGAATCTGGGTCTCCTTTACGGGACCTGAAAGTCCGTGACCGATTTGAGCTCGTTCAAGAACAAGAAAAGGAGGTTGTTGCTCAAGAGGGAGAAAGAGTGGAGACAGACAAAGGACAGGCCAATCTTTCCCAGCTTTCTCCACTAACGTTTGAAGAATTGTCACCAGTTTCATCTGAGGTTGCGTCCAAATTACCCAGTCAGGACAACGCTCTTCCTGAGGTCAAAGCCTTCCCAATTCTTCGAGTGAAGCCTCCAGGGCAATTGGACGCATCAGCCACTAAACGGCCCCACTCATCCTACATCGATTCAGAAATCAAGGAGAAAAAAGAATCGTATTTGGAGAGCCAATTAACGTCCCAAAATAAGAGAAAAACTTATTTTTCCAGTATGACTGAAGTGTCCTCTGAGCAGCTCTCGCCTTTCAGCTCCTGGTTGACATCCAGGTCACCTCTTGCTCAGCAACAGCAGCCTAAAAATGATGAGGACATCTCAACAAGAACAGAGAGACAATCATCAGGATCTGACTCCTTTCATTTGTCCAGAAACTGGGATGAAGAAAAAGCTCAATCAGGCAGTTTAATGGGACTCCTGGAAAACTCTAAACCCAGGACTAAATCATTCGGGGTAGCTGAAGAGAAAATTGCAAAAGAAAGAGAAGAACTAAAGAGTTTAACAGGATTCTTGGAAAAACCTGAAGCCAGGTCTCGATCATTTGAGGGGCTAGAAGAGAAAATCACAAGAGAAAAGGAGGAAGTTAAACGTTTGACGGGATTCCTGGAAAAATCCGAAGCCAAGACGAGAGAATTTGGGGGGACAGAAGAAAAAATTACAAGAGAAAGAGAGGATTTAAAGAGTGCCACTGGATTCTTTGAGAAACCTGAAGCCAGGACTGGATCATTTGAGAGAACAGAAGAGAAAATCACAAAAGAAAAGCAGGAAGCTAAAAATTTCACAGGACTCCTTGAAAATCCTGAAGCCAAGACCAGATCTTTTGGGGGCACAGAAGAGAAAAACACAAGAGAAAGAGAGGAACTTAAACATTTTACTGGAGTTCTTGGGAAACCTGAAGCCAAGACCAGACCATTTGGGGGAACAGAAGAAAAAATCATAAATGAAATGGAGGAAGCTAAACATTTTACAGAGTTCCTAGAAAAACCTGAAGTCAAGACCAGATCATTTGGGGGAATAGAAGAGAAAATAACAAAAGAAAAGGAGGAAGGTGAAAGTTTCTTGGAAAAACCTGAAGTCAAGACGAGACCATTTGAAGAAAAAAAGACAAGACAAAGAGAGGAACTTAAACATTTTAGTGGAGTCCTTGAGAAACCTGAAGTCAAGACCAGACCATTTGGGGGAACAGAAGAGAAAATCACAAGAGAAAGGGAGGAAGTTAGAGGTTCACAGCCGAAAGGGAGCTCCTTTGCTGCAGACAGATCCAAGGGCTCATCTCTTCCATGGGAAAGAAATCTCAATTATAAAAAAATAGAACCAGTGACAACAGTCAAAAACTCACCCTTAGACACGTATGTCGTAGAGGCAGCGAGAGTGGATGGCACTGGGGAGACAGTGGATGAGGCTGTGGTAGCAAAGGGGCTTCCGGAGGATGAAACAAGGACACCGTTTGGTGTAAAGCTTCGCTCCACATCGCGCTCATTCAAGTTCCGCTCTGAAACAGCTTCTCAACGGCATTCAGCGACGCTGCTGTCCGATGACCAAGATGTCGACACAAAGAAAAGCCAGAAATTGGTCGACTGTTCCAGTCAAATATCTGAAAAGATACTAGCAAACACAAGCAGCTCCCCCAGATCACCAGGTGAGTCTGTCACAATTGTTATGTTTATCTCTGTAAGGGAATAATTGATTTTCTCAGGCTCTCTGGTGCTCTTCAAAGTGGGAAAGACAGGAAAGCATTCTATTGAAGCAAGGCAGATGTGCTTTGATCTTCATAAGTCAGGAAATGTCTGCAAGAAAGCGCCTGGCCTGAACTCGTCTATTGACCCATTTAGAGCGATAACATATAAGAAAGAATAAAAATAATATTGCACAAGACTGTGACATTTGAGGTAATGGAGAAAGAAATTTTCTCTAAATATTAGAATAGCTATTCAAATGGAAACTGATTGGTGAGAAGAATGACAGAAAACGAATGTAAATACATGACATTTACTAAACTTAACTGAGACTTAGTCAGATGGTACTGAGACTGAGAATAAGCTTATCAATCTGGCATATAACAAAGGATGAATATAGGAATAGGGACCTCATGCCCAGTGCTACATATGGTATAGAGGAAGATTTGGGTCGTTTGTTTTTTTTGTTTTGGAAAACTTATTGGACCACATGGGTTCATTTAATTTTTGAAACACCAGGACAATCTGAATAAAACTCTAGTGCCCTCTTTGAGAAAAGTTCAAATAAATCATCCTTGATGATTCTGTCAGTAGGGCAGTGACCCAAAACATTTTGCCAAATTAACAAAGACATATCCAGTTTGCGCCATGACATCGGTCCTCCTAAATCCACAAACCTATAAGGTAACCTGAGGAGAAGAGTTTTATTGAGGACCCAAAACACTGCACAATGTTTAGACTGTCCAACGACGAATGCCCACCAATTATTTTAAGGCTTTTGATATATTTTCACCCTGTGACATGTTCAATTTCTAAAAAAAAAAAAAAAAAAAAAAGCATATAAAACTGCACTGGCAGAAAAAAAATGATAACATTTGCTGTTCGATAAGATAAAACACTATTTAGTGCAGATTACAGACCCTGCATGTATTTTAACTTGTAGTGAGTTTTTACAACTTTTTAGTACCCTAGTTAAACATTGCATGCTGTAATGCTGTGTCTTCATAGCAAGGTCCCACATTGTAAATAATCAATCCAGAAAGATAAGACTTCTTGGAACCACACAGGGACTTTGCACTCACTAAAATACCATTTGGCTAACATGTCTAACAGATTCGTGTCACTTTTCAGATCCAGCTCCTTTTGGCGTTACCCTTCCAGTCAGGCGCAACGCTTCACTTGAAGAAAGTTCTCAAACCACTCCCGTAGAAGTCCAAACAACTTCCATACACCTCGGGGAACCTGACACTCCCCCCCAGGTGATTCAGCCAAGCCCACAAGCATCCTCATCCGACCTGTCCTGGATGGTTTTGGCCATGGAAAAGACCAGGAGTCTCCAACATCTTTTGACCAGCAGATTTCAAAGAGATTTTACTAGCACACAAACTGGAGTTCGGCCTAAAAGCCAAGAAGAGCCAATCGCTGGACCCCAAGTGCAGAACCAGACAGGAAAGATTCAACAGAGCACACCACAGCTATCATCAGACAAAATGAAAGAAGAATCTGTTCAAAGCAGTGGCCAAGAGCAAGCTGCCAAACCCTCGACACCAGCATCGCAAAAGAAGCTGACAACTCAGTTTGAGTCATGCAGCTCGAGAGCCTCTCCAATCTCGAGACAAATGAGCCAGCCTAACAGAGCTCAATCAGACAATCAGGCCATCCCAAGAACAACACACTCTCCATCGCCCTCTTCTCCTCTAATAGGCAACACGTCTCCATTTACATTTACACGACGGAACGTACCCCAGTTGCTTGCACAGTCTTACCAATCCTCTCCCCAGCAGCAAACCTGCTGGACCAGTCAAGGTCTCCAACCTGCCACTCAACTCAAACATGCACCTTCAACTCTGGAGCCAGAACCTGCAGTCACATCTGCTGCATCTCCTACCCTTGACTTTGCCTTGGAAAGAAGAGAAAAAGAATCCAGTGTTCCAAAAGAAAGTTCATCCCTCGTAAGCAAGCGGGTACTTTGGACTGGATCAGCGGCCGACAGGGTTGCCTTCATGGAGAAACGGGCAGAATGGACAATGCCACCATTGCTAAAGGAGGTTAGTGGGACTTTGGTGCTGTATCCTTCTTTCAGTGAAGCTATTTTAACAAAACTTGATACTTAAATCAGATAGTAATACAGAATAAATTATTTCAATTCAGAAGTTACATTTATACTAATATGTCATTTTATCTGAGTAATAAAATAAATCTTTACTAATTTTCTGAAAAATGAACAAATAATTTTGTGCCTTTTTCAGGTGGAACAGAAGAAATCTCAAGCACAAATTCAGACCTCAAGTGACACTGACACTCTGGCTTACCTTTTCCCTCTAAGCAAAGATACAGTGGAAATTAGACAAGTGGCAAAATCAGCAGGTATGTTGGCACACATTTGTCATTGCAATGCAGTACCACTTCAACATTTATGCACCCTGACACACTGCAGTCACAAAGACTTTGCAACATACCGACACAAAACGCAGAATAATTAGTCAAATGATACATGATTTTCAGATATGTTTACAAATGGTTGACTTACGTCTGTATTTACTCCCCCTGGCGTCAGAATGTTGAAACCACCTTTACCTGCAGTAAGAGCTGCAAGTCTTCTGGGAATGTCTACTACTAGCTTTGCACATGATTTACTTCTCTATTCCTCTTTGGAGCATAACCTAAGTTCAGTCAGATGACATGAAGACTGTCTATGAATGTTAACATTTCAGTGTTGTCACAGATTTTCAGGTTGGATTTAAGTTTAGACTTTGACTCGACCATTTAAGCACAAGAATGACCCCTAGATCTAAACCACTGGTTCCAGGACATTTTGTGGCACATCACAAAATACTAGATTTTCCAGGTGCCACAGTACTGTTGAGGGATTTTAAAGCAGTCATTGGAGTTGTCTGTTATTTGTCATATAAAAGCAAAAACAATCATATTCATTTGCACTTTGTGTTTTTAAGTAGAACTTCCTAGCTTAAAGGAAAAACCCCTTGAAGTGAGAATTTCAAGCATGAACAGGTGGAGATTTCTCACCAATCCCAACCTCAAAATCCAATGGAGCTGCCATAGTTTATTGGAGAGAAAACAAATGTATTTACATTAGTTTGGATTGTTGATTGTTGGCATAGCAAAACATGCCAAGGTGGGTTTGACGTTATTTTCTGACTCACATTTTAAATTCAGAACCAAGTGGAAAGCAGCGCTTCAAGATTCACTGTTACCTGCTTTCGCCATTGGGATTCTCAGACAACTTTCCACTCTCCTTCCCTTCTCATGTCTTCAAGTTTTCAATTTCAATTTGTGGATTTAAAAGGAACATCACAAACAAATGTAACTCCACCAACATGAACAATTTTTTTTCTCACTGTGCTTGATGTAATTTGCCAAAGAGCTGTTTGAAGCAAAGATCAATTTGCATGAACGACTTAATGTTTTAGATTATTTGAACTCATAGGCTCTAAATTAAAATGACAAAGTATGCCCACAGGATGATACGATCACCACCATGTTTCACTGAAGGGAAGGTGCTCAAGAGTACAAGCAGTGGTACTTTAGAGTCAAACACAAGGTTTGAATTTAGAGTAAGAAAGTCCGGTTTTGGTCCTATCTGACCAGATGTTCCCCATGTTTGCTGTGTCCCAAATATGACTTGAGGCACATTGCAAATAGTTTTTAGTTTAAATGTAGTAAGATTTGAGGCACTGTGAGTTTATAGATGCTGCTTCCCAAATATTGACAATGATAAGCTGAGCTGTGTTGTACGGTTTTTCCTCTCTGCATTGTGTAGAATCCAGCCCATCCAGGGTTATAGAAAAGCCTCCTGAGGACAAATGGACCCGGAAAAATGTGGAGCTGCCCTCCTCCCCATCTTCTTTACGCACTCGTTCATCAGCGCTGCATTCTGACAGCAGCCAGCCATCCTGGATGGAGCTGGCGAAGAGGAAGTCAATGGCTTGGAGCGATAAGAGTATGGACTAAAAGGGGAATCTGAGAGATTTATGGGTTCTGGAAACAAGAATAAGTACTGTTTTGAATGAGAGAATAAGATAAGGGTTGAGGAAAGCTACCTCTAAGGTGTTGATCAGATGTGATGGAAAATTTTTACCCTGTTTCTATATGATCACAAAGTTTTATTGTTTTAGGAACAGAAAGAGACTCAATAAATTAATTTCATTATGATCTCACTTCATAAAAAGATGTTTATGAATCATTATTAATGATACCAGACAGTTTATTACTGTAAAATGTTTATGATAATCAAACAAATAAATTTAATTAGTTTCTCTTATTGAACTTTTTATTTGCAAAGAGCCGAGCAAAAATAAATAAAAGTTATTGGTTTCTCTAATTTAACTAACAGCACCATCTACGGGCAAGGATACAACAGTCTACCAGAAAGAGAACTTCATTTTCTCATCCTGTTTATAGACCATTATTTGAAGTAAGAAAGCTAAACATAAATAAGAAAAAGTGAAGATGGTTAAAATCTATTTCATTGCTTTATTTTGAAGCTCCAGGTATTCTGAGTAGATTCTCCAATAATATCTGTTTTTGACATTTACATACAAAAAAAGCTGATACAAAAAAAGCTGATGAGAAACTTATTAATAAAATACAAACCTTCCAATGGTCAGTTAAGATCTTACATGGTTTAAAACAACTTGTCTTTCTCTTTCTTTACATCTCTGATGAGCAATGTGGTTGTGATTTATTTACATTTTAATTATTCATTATTAATCAGCCCTTTGCATAATACAGCGGCAGATTTTATAAATTGTATAAGGGAAAGGATGTATAAATTTTGTTTTTTTATTTACATTTTAAATTTGGTACTTAAAGTGCTTACCACAAACACACCTCTTGTGCAGTATAAAAATATTACGAGTATATTAAATGGCATTTTGATGTGTAACTTTACTTTATTTGCTTTGATGATGAATAATGTAGAATAGCAAAATCTTGTCCCTGGTGCAAGACAGCCATGTTCATGTTATTTCACCTATGACATGTCAAAATGTGTGCATGGCAATTTACTAAATAACCTCCTATTTAGTAGAACATTAATGTACAGAAAAGTGGTGAAACTTTTTATTATATTATGTAGATGCTTGCCTGTGCCTGACCTAACATGGTGTTTTGCAGTTCAGGTCTCTACAAGTAAGACCTAAAAGATGGGTCATAGCCCAGCAGGAACAGAAAAGAAAAAAAACCAAGATGGAATGAAACAACTCATTAAAAAGTCTAACAAGATTAATGTCCTGCAGGACCTGCATAATTTACGGTAACATTGAGATATTTTCTGCAGAGCACTGAACTCTCCAGATGGAAGTGAGAGCATATCTAACAAACAGAAAAACACTTCAGTACTCCATGTACTTCAAAATTATAATCCCCCAAATCCTTACGGTTCTGAAGGAAATAACTAAACTTTTTTTTGTTTGTTTTACAAAAAGTGAATTAGAATTCATAAAATTTACTTTATTTTTACAGGAAGTGAAATATTTTATATTATATTACTGAACAAAATATAACACATTTCATTATGTCATTTCATTATGGGTAATTATTGACCTATTTCTGTACATTTATGCAATATTACTGAGTTGCGTATTTTTTTTTATTCTGCATGTTTTACCTCCACAATTAATCAGTGCTCCAGTAATTATGTACTTACTACGAAACTACTCACTTTTCTTTCATTGAACCCCTATATGCATGACAGCAGAACTAGAATAGACTTATTTAAAAGCCATTTTCTTACTTGTGTGGGGCTTGGAGCAAATAAGCTGCTTCATTGTTTTTTATCCATTCACTGCCACCTAATGGGCGTTTGGTGTAACTTCACTAAAATATTGTTCACGAGAAAAATGGTTTTCACTCAGTATGCAGAATTTAAAGAAAAAAAATCTAAACGCATACATGTACAAAAATTAAAGTGGGCATGTTTTTATTTTATTTTTTTATGTGTACACCCAAAAGATGATTAAAAGTAAGCGTAGTGAAATTCGATGCAGTTTCCCCATGTGGACCAGCAGAGGGCGCTGCAGAACGCTGCCTCCGCCAGCCGAACGTCCTCGTGTTATGAAATCGCCCACACGTGAGTTTGTAAACACCAGAGTGAAAGTGAGCGGTCATCCTTCCGCCTCCATGAGGTCCCGTTACTTTCCCCTGGCGTTGTGCGCCAGCCTCCTGTGTCTGTGCCGGAGCTACACCCTCCGGAGCTCCGTGTCATGGGTCGTGTCTTCCAACGACGTGGACGTAGAAGATGCCGACTTGTCCGAAGAGGTTGCACCGGCGCTGCTGGTGGACGGCGCCGGGCTGTGGAAAGCCAACGTCCTCGGAGACCGCCTGGAGACTCCCGGACTCAGAGAGCAGGCGGAGCCCGAAAGCGGAGAAGCGGCGCGGCTGTCCTCTCGGCTGTTCTCGTATCCCGTGGAGAAGGTGAAGAAGTCCGGCGGCGGCTCCCCTCCTCCACACCAGGAGACGGCCAGGACTGCCAGATACATCGCCCACTACAGCGACTGGGGTCATCTGGCCACCATTTCCACTCAAGACAAGGTAAAGTGGCTCGGTCCTGTCTGGGTGGGTGAACTTTATTTATCAACAAGGCCGGAATATTTCTTCTAATGAGGTTAAACTCCCCAAATCCATTTGCAACTTAATCAAACTTTGTAAAACATTACTTAATCTTAGAAACACATGATATTGGAGCTAAAGCTCCGTAATGTGTTATGTAGCAGATTCTTCAAGGTCACCATGTACCAGGAAGAAAAAAACAAAAACAAAATGCTACTGGGTGCAAAACTTTTACAGACCAGAAACGTTTTAATCATGGCATGAAAGGAAAACACTTTGGAAAATGCAACAACATGAAAACAACCAAAAAGGTCAGGACAAGAAATTTTTGAAAATTAAATCCTGTTTTTGCAATTGTGCAATTAATTGGTCTCCAAAATTAATGTAATATTACGATGCAGTTCTTTAATCCTTCTTTTTTCCTGTTCATCTCCATGCCCATCTGTAGGCATCATGTGGCGGTGTTCTGCCCGATTTCAATCCATCTCTGCTCCGACATTGAAAATGGTCCGACCACAACCTCAGCATGTCACAAAGTTCTGCAGAGCCCTGCCAATGAACCAAAATTAGATTGAGTTGTGTCAAACCAGGGAAAGAAGCTAAAACATGTTGGATACCGGCCACTGAGGACTGACTTTGACACTGCTGCTCTGTGCCACTATAATGAACAGTGGCAGTTCCTGTATGGGAAGAAACCCTTCTTTTTTGCTGTAATATACACTGACTAACATTTTGACATATTTGAATCCTAATTTGCCTGTGTATAAATGGTCATCCCACCTCGTATGATCATCAGTGTTACAAAAACAAACAAAGAAAAAAATAAATCTTGTTGTCCAGGTGGCTGTCCATCTGTATGGGTCAGCTGCTAAAACAGCAGAACCCTCTAAGTGTCCTGGCAATAGTACTGATGTTATCTTTGTTACTCTCTGACAAATTTCTGTATAAATCCTTGCGCTATCTTTGTTCTTTAATTCTCCTCTTCGCTCGTACAGTGTAATGGTACAGAAACCATTACACTGCCATATTTACCTGTGAAGCCCTTATCTATTCTCCCCCTCCTACAGTAACCTCAGATAAAGATTATTTTTGGCTGTTTCCATATTCCATTTAATTTTTTTCTTCTTTTTCTGACACTTGCCCTATTGCATAAGTGTCAGAATCAAATTCTGCGGCCAAAGATTTTTGTGTGGTACTCTAGGGTATTTTGTTAATTTAAAAAAAAAATTGCATAATGATGAGAGCCCAGCTTTTAACTGTATTTTTGAGAAAACAAAGAATCCCCTGCTCCATGCAAAGTCCTTAGTTTTTAAAAACAAAACCAAGCAGTTTTTTGTTTTAATTGCAGATCAGTTTAGAATAACTCAGCCTTCATTTCCACCATCTATATTTTGCCATTTACACACTTAAGTTGAGGTGAAAAAGAATTTCATAATGGTTTCATAAGGCATTTTTTAAAATAGTTTCTGTTCAATGTGTAATCAATGTGTTTTAGGTTTTTGTGCTAGAGGTGATTATTTTTCGTTTAAGATTGTAATGATATTCTTTTTGCAACACTTTTTTTACACAGATCAGAGGCATTCCCTTTGGAAACATCTTCTCGGTCAGTGACGGACCATTGGACAACAGCACTGGAGTGATCTATTTTTATGTGACTCCAATGGACAACACTGTGACGGACCTGAAAAGTAATCCGTATGCCTCTCTCACTTTCTCAGAAGCTGAGGGGGACTTCTGCAGGCAAGCCTAAGCTTACTGAAAATACACTTGTATTATTCTTTTTGATAAAATTACAGCAGTCTGAGAAGTCAGGATATGCCAACTTAAATCACACCATGAAGTTCAGAACATAGTATAAAATATTTACTTTGATGTGCTTCTAGGGATTAAGGAAATTGTCCATGTGAAAGGTACTTGTAACTCCACATTTTCATCTAAGTTTATAAACTTTATCATTGTCTCAGACTTTGTCATAGATCTAGGTTTTGGGAAGATTTGATAAATAAACTTTTTAATCTTCAGCAACATTTGAAAGTGGTGGAACATAATCCACGAATTGCACAAGGGCTTTACTATCTGATCTCCCCAAATTCAGAGACAACTGCTTTTACCTGCCTCTGCCAGCAGGTGGCAGAGTTTCAATTAGACTGAAATTCAAAGTTGTCAAAAAAAGAAAACGACCAAGATCTTTAGAGATTTCCTGAACATGTATCTATATTATACAGCTCTGAAAACAATATGGTACAATAAAGTATATTTAACATTCACTCTGTTTAGATATCTTCACAAAACGGCGCGAGCATTTTAAAAAAGATACGTAAAACACAGAGAGGGGAGATACACTTCACATTTCACCCCAACATTCGCTGACATGTGAGGGTCAAGACAGAGGCGGCACCATTTTTAAAATCATGTCACTCATAAAAATTTAATCTAAATTGCTATACAAGGAGATTTAGACGTCTTTGAAACGACTGACATTTTTTTCTATTTTGCAATTTACGTCTAGGAAGGGGCCGGCAAACATTCCTTCAGCTTTACTGCATTTGCTTCATTCTGTAATCTTACTAAATTGTATCAATTTTTAGCTTTAAAAAGATTGTCTTGGTGTTATCAAAACAAACACCCCTTTTTCTGGTTCGCACAAAAGCCTATTCATTCCTGTTGCCGAAAAGCCTAGAAAAACTTTTTAGTAACCAAGGTGTCATATTCTGCTGTGTTTGAAGGCAAATGGTGTATGATCCAGAGGATCCCAGATGTGCTCGACTCACACTGACAGGCAAAATGGTGGAGGTGGCCCCAGAGGAGCTCGCTTTTGCAAAGGAAGCGATGTTTTCGAGGTGCAAGGAGTGTAAGCAACGGTAGTGTGCTCACATTACATTTGATAAGTATAAGCTCACATGTGGCTCTGATTTAAGCAGACATCCTGTGATGGCAAAGTGGCCGGTGGGACACAAGTGGTTCTTCATGAAGATGGATTTGATGCAGGTCTGGCTACAGGACTGGATCGGGGGTGTGTCAGTCATCCCACTGGAAGACTACTTCAAAGCTACGCCCTTCTGAGATCCTGCTTCGCCTTGCTTCACATCAGTTCTGCTGTCTGTGAGACGGTTGACACCTGGAACAGTCTGATAAGGAAGCAGTGATGTGCAAAGACTATAAATGTAAAAGTGTGTGTGTGTGTGTGTGTGTGTGTGCATTGCTTTTCAGAATGCTTCTGCTGTTCTAATTAGCGAGAGAGAAAGGTTGTTGCATGTTTGCAGTCTGTTCCCTCCCAGCTTATCGGTTTCTTAAGCTTTATGCGTGAATGTATGTATAGTGTTTTTAAACTGACTGATTATATGTAAATGTAATCTTTTTATGATATTTTATGGGTTTGCACTACAATAATGGTGTTTTAAAAATAAAGTAAAATTTATAATTGAAATCTTTCATTTTGTGTTAGTACTTCTCTTGAGTCAGGCACCTTTTTGTATGTTTTTAAATTATTTCCATAATTAATTAATCAATCAAATTTTATTTGTTTAGCACATTTCAGCAGCAAAGCATTTCAAACTCCTTTACATCATAAACAGAAAAACACAAAGTCATGCAACATAGAATAAACAATATATTGTTACATGTTACGTTTCAAAAACAATTCTCACAAACATTTCAGGATAATATGCCCAAAA